GGCATATTGTAAACACTGGACTGGACTTTGGACTGGACTTTGGACTATGGACTTTGGACTTTGGACTTTGGATTATGGACTTTGGACTATGGACTTTGGACTTTCGATTTTGAAATTATATTATTTTTTAGATTTTCGTTTAATTATATTAAAATCTAAACAGAGAACGAAAATTTGCTGCTGAAAAGCGTGCTACTGGCTACACTGCATGCACATGCATGATATAATATATACAAGGTAAAAAATACTCAGTATCAGTTATATAGGTATACCAGCAATGCAATTTCATACGGATATAGCCTGTAGGATAGCAGGATTATCCAATATTTTGGGATTTAATATTTAAATTTTATATAATAGTTGTATTTATAGTATGCATAGTACAGTTTATACTACAGAACTTCTTCTTTATCATATAAATAATAGATTATAATTAGTTGTCAGAAACAATTGTGACAAAAGTGTCTCGGCAAATACAAAATATTAACTATACAAGTGATTATTATTGCGCCTATTGAGTATTGTATTATGTATCTATTGACTGTTCATGTGTTGTGTAATTGTTTACTCCGTTACACAGTAAAGTTTTGTCAATGTTACTTATTTTTGAAAGACATTCTAGTTAGCTATCCTTATCACTAAGACTAAGTGCTTCTGTTATTATTAATAAGTGTTAGTATAGATGGACAGGAATATTCGAACGGACACTTTTTAAGACGGCTTACTGTAGTTCACGAAACGAAACGAAACGAAACGAAATCTGCACTTTGCGAAACTGTAATTTGCGAAATCTGTAATTTGCGAAATCTGCAGTTTGCGAAATCTGCAGTGTGCGAAATCTGCAGTTTGCGAAATCTCTAGATAGATTGCTATTCAAATTTGCAGTTTGCGAAAACATATAGCAGAAAGTAAAAAAAAATGTTTACCTTTTCGAAAGTTTTCGATGCGATCACCAACATTTTTATGTCAAACCTCGCGGCTGCGATCCACTTGACCATCTGAAGTATTTCCGGGAAAATCCCATAGTCAGGGCAAAATTTCCAATCAATTTGCTGGCAATGGTGTATTTTCAATCTTAAACTTTTACATTTTGCAGTCTCAGACATATAATTATATAAAGAAGTTTATTTGACACTGCCACTGAAATATAAATAATACAAGTAAAGCAATTTATTGTGATAACGTTTTATCGCAATTATGACTTCGTGTAGTCAGGTAGGTTCTTAATTAACTAGGTTAACTTGCACAGAATTTAATTGTACTGTTGACGCCTCGCCCTCGGAACATGTGAACATTTTTTATTTTACCCTAAACTACAGATATTTCGCAAATTACAGATTTCGCAAACTGCAGAATCGCAAATTACATATTTTGGAAATTACAGATTTCGCAAACTGCAGATTTCGTTTCATTTCGTAAACTACAGTTTCGTAAACTACAGTAAGCCTTTTAAGACCTACTCAGTTGTGTGTGAGAAGGCAAAAATCTATGTCTATGTACTTCAGGTAGCAACTATTTTCCACGTTTACCGGGGCTGCATGTAATACTACCATTTGCAAGTGATGAACCAGGTGGGAATCGTATTAAATCGTAGTATAGAGATTAATGCACAGCACAACGTACGCAAAAGAGCCATATATAGACAATAATATAGACATAGATATATACATAAAGTTATACTATAGATTATCATAAAGCTAGTAATCAGTACTACCAGTACCAATTAATAATGTATCATACATTCGTATTTTATAAAGTACAGAGTGATGACTATGAGAGTTTTCGTGTTCACTATGGCTGAATACATTTATGAAAAGCTAAAACTGACACAGACAAAATACATTGTAAACCGACAGCCTATTTTTAATAGGCAGGCGCTAAACCGGTGTAAACTATTATGCAAAGATGAACATGCACAATACCGTCATTAGTATTTTTGCGCAAGTGAATAAATATATAACAAATCCTAAAAATTGTCAAGTTGATTGGTCAAATTTGACAAATTCCCCGATAATCACGGCCTCGCCTTTGGCGAATAATTGTTCAAAGCCAAAGGCGCAATAATAACCGCGTGTAGTTTATACTTACACGTGATAGTTTCTCAATATTTTGTATTTGCCAAGAAACTTTTGTCACAATTGTTCCTATAAATCTATTATCTATACGATAAAGAAGAAGTTCTGCAGTATAAACTGTACTATACATATTAATATAAATACAAATATTATAATAAAATTTAAATATTAAATAAAAAATATTACTGAGATGATCCTGTTATCGCACAGGCTATATCTATGAAATTGCACTGGTATACCTATATAACTGATAGTATATTTTATTTTGTGTTCAATATATAGACCAAAGTAAGACTTTTTTTTAAATGTTTATTGTAATCCTATTAACTACCTGAAGATGGAGTAAATCTCCGAAACGTCGTTTGTTAATGAAATAAACATTTAAAAAAAAGTCTTACTGTGGTCTATATATTGAACACAAAATATACTATTAACATGAGACTTAGGGAAAGTTCGTTCCTAAACATTTTGAAGTATATTTTACCTTGAATTATCATGCACAAATTTTCGTTCTCTGTTTAGATTTTAATTAATATAATTATACGAAAATCTTAAAAATAATATAATTTCAAAATCGAAAGTCCAAAGTCCAAAGTCCAAAATCCATAGTCCAAAGTCCAGTCCAGTGTTTACAATATGCCACTAAACAATAACATAGTAAACTTGCATAATTAAACAGCAACTAAAAATGATAGGTTTTACTAAATCTTTTCCTGTGCAATTATTACTAGCATTGGAGACAAGAATAATAGTTTGTTTAAAAGAGAAAAGAACAGGCTTTGAAGTAAGCTCAAAAGCGTTTAACTAGAAATAGTATTTCGAAAGTGATTAAGCACAAAAGATGAATTGCGTTTATTTTGATACACCCTGTAGAGCCTGATCTCAGGTTAGAAGAAAGGTGACTGCTGATCATTGCCATATGGGTGATCACGTCACTTAGGTGGCTCTGCTACGTTATTTATGTTCCAAAAAAGCTGTCTAAAGTGATATGGGAAAACATATGGCACATATGGATCAGGGCTGATTCTTGACAATATATGACACACTTGTTTATTAAACATCTAGAGCAGGTATCGATTTTAGATGCAGCACAAGCTATCACAGTGTCAAAAATATTTTCCCGACATGATTCCCAATTTCATTTCACAAACCTCCATAAGATATAATAGCGTATTCTCCCCGGCTTCCGGTTAATTCAAGCCTTTCAAAGTCATAACGAGAACCCCAAAATACTCGTTCCCATGCTTCCCCTTCCTTCTCCAAAATGGCTTCTCGTTAGCTCGCGGCACGTCTTTCGTTTCAGAGTGTTTTTCAATTGCAATCCTTCACAAAGCAGAGCCATCCTGACTTAAAAGTTACAGAAACGATGGCAGAGGACAGGGAAGTTTCCCCTGCGTTGTCCTTGAACGTTGTAGACGCCTTAGCGACGGTTGAAGACAACGAGTTGACACCTTCGCCCACTGGGTTGAAAGGTAAACAACGTGCTACAAAACGGAGGCATTCTGAGACCTCTAGTAGTTCTAAAAGCTCTAGTAGCTCTTCGTCATCGAGTTCTAGCGATAACAGCGACTCAGACGATTTTGCTAGCTGTAAAGATGGTGACTACAAACGTCGCAAGAAGCGTAAATCTTCACCAGAGCGAAAGGCAACGCCAAAGACACAAGCAACGCGAAGGGACACTTCACCGGACCCCGGGTCTGAGTGAGTCTGACGTTGATGTTTACGTGCGCTTTGACACGGATAACACAACTTGTGAACAATTGGTTTTACCAAAAGAATGGTGAAGTACTTAGCAAATAAATTTACATCCTATGTTCCAGACAAGGATATTCAGGAAACAGTACTTGATGCAAACCCTGTGCCGAATATTCAATGCCTTCAAACCCCAAAGATTGATGATTATCTTGGGGAAATATTTGAAACTATGGGCAAATCTTACGGCAAAGAGTCGGATAATAGCCTTGTGAAAGTGCAATCTCGTGTTTCTAATGTTATGGGACCCCTCGGCAAGCTGTGGCTTGCACTGGAGGAGGTCAGAACTCGTAAATCCGATACACAACTTGACCTGTATGCATGCTTAAAACTGGTTGAGCAGTCTATTACATTGCTTTGACAAGCCAATGTAAATTTGTTATATACACGACGATTGGGAGTTCTTTCTCGCCTAACAGGGGAAATGAAAAAGGCTAAAAGCTTGCTTAATTTAAGAAGCATCAGACGTCATTAGCAAAGCCTCATAAAGCCTTGTTTGGCAAAACGTTCTACAAGGCCCTCCACAAGGCCACACAATTGAGAAAGTCTTCAAAAGAGATTTCTCACCATATTACTAGCCCCCCTCACCAGAAAATTCAAAAGAATGGTGCCAATAGAAATGTTGTCATGAAATACCAACCCTTTCGCCAAGGGCCCTCATTTCAGAGCCGAGGTGGGGGCCGACCCACTCAGTTCCGGGGCAGAGGAAGTGGCTACAGAGGCAGTGGTTACAGAGGAGACAAAGGATATCCTTTTAAAGGCAAGTCCTTGCTCATTACATTCGAGGTCAAGCGGAGATCACCCGAGTCACACCTGTCACCTCTCAGACCAGGTTCTGGGCATTCCACAACAGACTGTTCAGCTGAACATCTAGGACTAGATACATCAATTTCACACTTGCCTCTACCCCTTGCAGGGAGACTCCAGTATTTCCAGAAAAATTGGGAATGTCTAACTGGGGATCAGTTTATTCTGCAGATAGTCTCGGGGGGTCAAAATACCATTTCTGGAATCCCCTGTTCAAAACAGACATCCAGTTCCCCACACTCATACCCAATTAGAAAAGGAAAAAATCACGCAGGAAGTTGTTGGAGTGCTGCAGAAGGGAGCGATTCAGGTGGTCTCTCCACGTAAAGAGGACTTTTTCAGTCCAGTATTTTTAGTACCGAAGAAGGATGGGGGGAGCAGGCCTGTGATCAATTTGAAAGAGTTGAATTCACACATCGCATACCAGCACTTCAAAATGGAGGGTCTGCACCTCCTCAAACAACTTGTTCAGAACAAGGATTACATGATCAAAATCGATCTCAAGGATGCTTATTTTTCAGTACCCATGAGCAAACAGCATCGACGTTTCCTAATGTTCACCTGGGGGGAAGAACTGTATCAATTCACTTGTCTTCCCTTTGGGTTAGCACCAGCTCCTCTATTGTTCACAAAGCTGTTGAAGCCAGTAGTGTCGCTTTTGCGTCGCCTGGGTTTGAGGATGATAATTTATCTAGACGACATAATTGTTTTGAACCAAACCCAGGAAGGCATATTAAGGGACAGGGACTCAGTCCTGTGGCTTCTGCAGAACTTGGGTTTTGTGATCAACTGGGAAAAGTCGGTGCTACAGCCCTCCCATACCATGGAGTATCTAGGATTTGTGATAAATTCTCTAGAGTTGAAGCTGTCATTACCAGAAACCAAAATGAATCATCTTGTGCAATCTTGCCGAGATCTGATTCAACAACAGGTGTCCTCGGTCAGAACAATAGCAAAGGTGATAGGGAAGCTGACATCCTCCATGCAGGCAGTTTTTCCAGCACCCTTGCACTACCGACACCTGCAACGGTTACAAATCAACGGTCTGTTGACGGGAAAATCCTACGAGACGATGGCCTCACTCGATCAGAACTGTCGTAACGACCTTCAATGTTGGATCGATCAGATCTCCATCTGGAATGGTCGAGCAATAATTGCTCCTGCCCCAGATCTGGTGATAACAACAGATGCATCAATGAGGGGCTGGGGCGCAGTTTGTCAAGGGGTTCATACAAGGGGATTGTGGACTCCTCAGGCGGCCACCTCCCTTCATATCAATGCCCTAGAACTAAAGGCAGCCTTTTGTGCAGTGAGGGCCTTCATTGCAAAGAAAACCCAGTTACATGTTCATTTAAGAATGGACAACAAGACAGCTATTACCTATATACTCAAAATGGGGGGTACACGGTCTCCAATCCTACTGCGCATTGCCCAAGAATTGTGGGATTATGCCCTACAAAATCAAATTTCCCTAACAGCAGAGTATTTACTGGGGGAATCCAATCACGAAGCCGATTGGGAATCTCGACATTATCAGGATCCGAGCGACTGGAAATTGAATCCCCATGTGTTTCAAACACTGAACACCCAGTGGGGACCCTTAGAAATAGATCTGTTTGCCAACCGACTTAACACCCAAATGAAGAGTTTTGTGAGCTGGTTCCCAGACCCATTTGCCACAGCAACAGATGCTTTTCAGATCCCTTGGTCGGATCTGAAGGGGTATTGCTTTCCACCCTTCTCTCTAATTTGCCGTTGCTTGGCAAAGGTCAGGAAGAACATGGCAACCATTGTTATGGTCACACCAGCTTGGCCAAGACAGGCATGGTACCCAGTTCTACTGGAAATGTCCTGCAGACAACCCATTTTACTGCCTCCTCTCAAGGACTTGCTAACATCACCCAGACAGCAAGTGCATCCTCTTGCGCAACAAGGCAGTCTGCAGTTAGCGGCCTGGATGGTTTCCGGAAAACCATACTTGCAGAAGGAGTTTCAGAACAAACTGCCCAGCTACTTAGCACCCACTCCTGGCGCAAAGGCACTACAGCCGCTTACAATAGTGCCTGGTCACAGTGGTGTAACTGGTGTACTGAAAGACAAATTGATCCATTTTGCTCCACTGTGCCCGCTGTAGCTGACTATTTAACAACCATGTTTGAAAAAGGTTGATGCTATCGCACAATTAATAATCATAGGTAAGCAATTTCTGCCTATCATAAGACTGTTGATGGACGGAAAGTCGGGCAACACGAGTTGGTTTGTCAGGTGTTGAATGCATGTTTTAATGCCAGACCACCACAACCAAAGTACGCTAGGATGTGGGATGTTGATGTAGTGCTTACTTATATATGCTCTTATTTTTGAGCTTGGTCGACTAACAAAGTCACGGAAAAAAGGGCAAAAACCAATCAAGCTGATATTTAATTCCTTCCAGTCGGACCCTTTGTTATGTGTAGTGCCAGCCATTACCTCCTATGTGGATCGTACAAAAAGGTGGCGTTCTGTATTAGCTCAGACCCAGTTATTGCTAAGCTTTGTTGAGACCCATAAGGAGGTGGTGCCCTGTACAATTGCAGGGTGGTTGGTAGGACTGATGAGTGAAGCAGGTGTGAACACCTCTGAATTTAGTGCACATTCTACCAGGGGTGCCTCTACTTCTAAAGCCAAGGCTAAAGGCCTCTCGTGTCAGGAAATCATGAATAAAGCTAAGTGGAAGAAGGAATCCACTATTAAAAGGCACTATTTGAGGGATGTAACTGCTGAGGCAACAGTTGGGCAGGATGATTTCCAGGAAACAGTATTCCAAACAGGTCGGAATGCTTTGAACATACGCTATTATATCTTATGGAGGTTTGTGAAATGAAATTGGAAATTTCATCAGTGCGCGAAGAACACGCATTGAAATTATAATTTCATGAGCAAACCGAAATAAGATATAATAGCGTCCCTCCCTGCCACTCCCAATTTCGTATTATTTAATATCAATCTTATTTCGGTTTGCTTTGCTACTCTAGGTGCTAAAGGCAACTGAGGAGTGAAGTGACGATGTCCAGATTCTTGTGAAATGTTATAACTATGTTATGAACTATGTTAAGTACATGTTAAAGTACATGTTAAAGTACATGTTAAAGTTTATATTACCTGTTTGAGATATTGATGTTTATACACGGTGTATTACAACAGTGTAACAATATTATAAACGGTATAATAAATTAAAGGTTCCTGTTTTAGATTGTGACTCGTTTGTTTTGCTCTCTAACTCCAATCCATTTTGGAGAAGGAAGGGGAAGCATGGGAACGAGTCTTTTGGGGGTCTCGTTATGACTTTGAAGGGCTTGAGTTAACCGGAAGCCGGGGAGAATACGCTATTATATCTTATTTCGGTTTGCTCATGAAATTATAATTTCAATGCGTGCGCTTCGCGCACTGATGAAATTTCCAATTAGTTGAACAATTCACCATTCTCTTTTTCCAGTTGCATTTATATATTTTGCTGCTTGTTGATTTTCTCCACTTCGAGTAACTTTTCACACTCTTCAATTAACATTGATAAATCATCATCTGGAAAAAGGGATCGTACACATACTTTATTGGCGTCTACTAACTGTGTTGCCACATTGCATTTTAATGCGTAAACGGGGGGTGAGGACCTTGGAAATTCCAGGCAAAGGGGATGTCATCTCCCAAATGGCCCGGAAATTCCAAGGGAGGGGGTAAAAATAATGCATTTCCAGGGGGCAGCTTTCAAGAATTGCTTGGACATTTCAAGGGACCCCCATGAAAAACCTTGCTTCTGGAAATTAAAGGGAAGGTCTAAAATTTTAAAATTTGAAGGTCCTCACCACCAGCCCCCACCATCCGTGTACGGATTAAAAATGCAATGTGCCATTTCTACTCACAACACCAAGCACTAATGTTGGTCCTTATTTGATGAACTTTAAACAAATTCTACATATTAAAATTATACATCTTTCCTAATCACATACATCTGTACATCACTGAAACACATGTCCAAGCTGATATGTAAACAAACTGACTTAAATACTGTAATTAATATTCATATATTATTTAATTTGATTTGCTAAATTGAATACTAATAAAATACTAATAAATTGCTAAATAAAATGCTAATAAACAGATCTGGTACCTGTTGGTGACTGATCAGTGTGCTCAATATTTTGTAAACCCTTTGCCTCATCAGGATCAGTTTCAAAATTATCCCCATCCATTGCAGGTATATCTACATAATATGGATGATCACAGTTTTAATAGGTCAGTGGGTCACAGTCAGACTGAGTCAGTGTATTACTATTTCTGTATTTTAATACTAGAACTACAGTTAAACAATTCACCACGACACCACTCACCGTAGCACATATGAGTTACAATATACAATACAATATGTTACACGAGCGTTAATAAACATATGAATAATGTACTTTACCATGGCAAGTTTCTAATGGATGCCCCTTTCTAGTTTCTAGACGTTGTCTCTGCCCATTTTGACGGCGACGTCTCCCAGGGCCAGGAATTGGTCTTCCACAATTATCAAGAAATCTTACGACGCTTTCTTTTCTTTTCCTTGTCCTTGGCTTGCGAAAATCTTTACCATCTTTTAAGATTTTTTCAATTTTTGCCGCAATACGGTCTGCTGTCATTTCTCGAGTCTTAAATCGAACAGTTCTTTCATCTGCGGATTTCTTGTTTATATTCGGCGGGTCCGCCATATTGCAAGAATTTATTTCAAGTACGAGTAGTTACGGTATTGTATGTTATATATCATCATAGGAAACGAGACACCATGTAGTGAAAATGTTTCGTGTGACAGTGTCTAGACTGCGCATGTGCGGAATATTTTAGTTAATTAAAGGCATACGAAAGATCAGTAAAAGAGCAGTTGGTTTATGAAAGTTTGTAGTTGAAGGCATACTCTTTTTCGCTTGCGCATATAATTAAACCAGGTCGATATCGTCAGTTTACTTTGGAGGTTCATATATATTTGGTTCCGTGCATGCTATATAGCTACACTGATGAAAATACCACCGTTCAATTCCGTGAAACAATTCCTATTGATAGATTCCTATTCAGTAAAATGTAAACATTAATTTTTATAGCGATTTACAATCTTTGGAGGTCAAGCGATACCATATTTCACACCTTAATTTTACCGAACAATGTAAACAATGTATTACCAAGGCATACTTTCGCCGAACATAACTTCGGGCACTTCCAACATATCTTTTTCGTAATAATCCTGTTCGAGTCACAGTCAAAGACACTATGGTCCGGATGGTCTACCGGCTTGGTTGCTGAAGACGTATGCTGATATAATCGCACCAGCTGTTGCGGATGTTCTCAACTCCTCATTTCTTGAATGCAAAGTTCTGGCGTATGGAAAATGGCAGATATAGCACCACTTCCCAAGGCTCAAGATATTGAGGATTTTAACAAAGATTTGAGATCGATATCTTTGACGCCAAATGGTTGGCTGCTACTGACGGAACAAGTTCCGCCGTTAGGGTTATTTTATTGGATTACAGGAAAGCGTTTGATTTGGTTGATAATAATATTTTGGTTGCGAAGCTTCATAAATATGGTATTAAACCAACAGTTTTAAATTGGATAGTCGATTTTTTATGTAATCGATTTCAACGAGTGAAACTTGATTCTGATTGCTACTCCGACTTTTTGCATGTCCCGGCAGCTCTCCCACAGGGAACTAAACTTGGTCCGTGGCTTTTTTTCGCTATGATTAATGATCTTCGACTTTCGGGCGACTCTTTAAAGGATATGTGGAATGCTGACGAAACTACAATAGCTGAGGTTATTCCTAGGTTCGGTAACAGTGCCTTACCGCCAATTGTTGACAGGGGTGTGAACTGGTCTGATCAAAATAAATTACACCTACACCCAACTAAATGCAAAGAATTGAGGATTCAGTTTGTCAAACTTGAATGCATTTTGGAACCAATTATTATTAACGGGCAACACCTAGAAATTGTAAAATCAGCAAAAATTCTAGGTATGACGTTAACAGACGACCTAAAATGGAATAAACATATAGGAATCGTTGTTCTTAAGGCTTCAAAACGACTGTATCTTTTAAAACAATTATACGACGTGCTGGTGTTGATAGGAAACATCCAATTGGTTTCTCAGTATAATGCGTGTACCAGGTCGATTCTGGAATATGCTTGTGAAGTTTTACATTCAAGTCTTCCTACATATCTGTCCGACGATTTAGAACTAGTACAAAGATGTGCAATGCAGGGCCTTTTTAACATACAAGCTGGGGGGCAAATGCCCCCCAGTCCTCCCTTGTGCCCCCCACGAAATCACATTTTGCCCCCTCCCCAGGAAAAGTCGCTTTTTCCTAAAATTATACAAACAAACCAGCTAAGATTAACAAATAGATAAACGGAAAGTAAGTTTTAGGCTTTGTCCTTGTTTAACAAAATCGATTTAAATTGTCACGTGTTTCCACCACTAAGTAATGATAAATTATTGTTAATAATTTTTTTATTTTTTGGATGCTCAGAATGCAGGAAATAGCATTTCCGGGTTTCAAATTTCTGGGGATTATCCCTCTAATAAATAATGATAAATTACGGTTAATATTCTTTTTTACTTTTTGTGTATTTTTCCTTCTTTTATTTCAAGTACAAGTATAGTTAGCATAAATTTTAGAGCAAATTTGGATGCTCAGAATGCAGGAATTTGCATTTCCGTGCTTCAAATTTCAAAACTTTTCTGGGGGAGTACACCCCACACACGTGACCATTGCTATCCTCCTCTAATAAGTAATGATAAATGATGGTTAATTATTTTTTTACTTTTTGTGCGTTTTTTCCTTTACTTCAAATACAAGTATAGTTACCATACATTTTGGAGCTAATTTGGATGCTCTGAATGCAGGAAATGACATTTCCGGGATTCAAATTTCAACTGATTTCTCTGGGGGAGCACATCCTCAGACCCCCCCTCCCCCATTCATGCGTGGTATATTGGCCACACACGTGGCCTTCAGCCATTGCTAGTCCCCCTCTAATATATTATCTCACAGAAAGGTCCCTTTTCAAAAATGCCCCCCCCCCCACGGGAAATTCCTTAAAAAGGGCCCTGGTGCAATATGAGGATAATTTTTCCTGGAACGAGGTATAAGAAGCCTTGGAACAGAGACATTTACAATCACTTTATGACAGACGAGAATATTCATGTATAAAGCTTTTTGAACAAATTGAACAAGATCCAAGTCATAAATTAAAGAATCTCTCACCTAGTTTAATTAAATACGTCTTTTGACAGCCTTCGAACCGTAAGAAAGTATGAACTTCCTTTAAGGGGGAAGTCAAGTCCGTAATGTAAACAAACGGTTTCTTTACATTCAGTTGAACTGCTGAATATCTGATACCATTTTGGTTCGCTATGTTTCTAAATGAATATGAAATAGAGTTTATGTTCAGAAAAATTCGAAACATTCGAAATTTGGGCAATGTTCACATTAGACGTCCTCACATTGTTATGAGAAGAACCAATGCGCAGAACGGACTTGACTTCCCCTTTAATCAAAACAGACCGTTTTAAAAAAATCTTTTATACCTAGTCAAGCAGCGAAAGTGCGGACGTTGACCGTTGTAGTTTTTAGCATAGTAATAGTTTAATTAAGCAACAATGAATTGTAATTAAATAATTTTATATCAATTGTATGTTTTTCTGTTGTCGTTGTTATTGTCGTTGATGTTGTTGTTGTTGTTGTTGTTGTTGTTGTTGTTGTTGTTGTTGTTGTTGTTGTTGTTGTTGTTGTTGTTGTTGTTGTTGTTTTTGCTGTCGTTGTTGATGATGTTGATGTACGTTGTATGCTGCTGTTGTTAATCTTGTTGTCAAGATTTTGATGTTGTGTTTGTGTATAAAGTAATTGCGTGATCTTATTATATGAATTTAGGATCTGATGTATAATTATAGTAATTAATTGATATGTATATATATTTTTGTCACTGAAAAGCCCCTTTAGGGGAGTGTGAATAAAGTCAATCAATCAATCAATCAATCAAATCATTTGTAATTCAGTCATTTTTTGGCTTCGTGAATTGGAAAGTGACGTTCAGTAGTTTTTAGTATATTTTAATTAAGCAAAAATAACTGTAAATAATGAACTTAGTATTTTATTTCATATCATTTGTAAATCATTTGTAATTCAGCCTTTTTTTGGCTGCGATATTTGATTTATCTATCTATCTATCTATCTATCTATCTATCTATCTATCTATCTATCTATCTATCTATCTATCTATCTATCTATCTATCTATCTATCTATCTATCTATCTATCTATCTATCTATCTATCTATCTATCTATCTATCTTTCTATCTATCTATATCTATCTATCTATCTATCTATCTATCTATCTATCTATCTATCTATCCACTATCTATCTATTTAGAGTGTTATCCAAATTCAAGCTTGTATATACAGATTTGCATCTTTTATTTCGGTATTTCAGAATATCTAAATTTTTAGCGAGAGCTTCGACCGGAAACATGGCGATGTTTACATCCTAGCACTCGGTAAACGTCGGAAACCGATTCCAAAGATCAAATTACCCCTGTACCGTGGCCGAAGGCATATAATAAAGATCCATATAGAAGGGCCAATTACATCGGAAGCTTTGAAGTTTCTGTCCTCGCGCATGTCGTATTACGCATGTTGGCCGCCATTTTCCTAGCCAGTCAATGACATTTTCTGGCCAATAAACACGCTGTACTGGCTGGTTGCTCCGCCTTCTGGCGAGTAAACTGCATATTTTTGCATAAAAAAACGAGGACACGTTGCACCGCTGAGTGGCCCTTCTGTTACTGATCTTTATTCTGTGCCGAAGCTATGTTCAGCGAAAGGTACGCCAGCGCCGGTTTTACACAGTGGCAGATGCGGCATAAGCCACGGGCCCCGCGCCTTCCAGGGCGTCGCGATTTAGGCTAAAAGTATATGATGTTATTTTATTAATTATAATTTATGCAAGCTGTTATTCACCAAAATTGCCCACTTGCCGAGTATGTGCCTTGCGCCGCACATTCTCTCAATTTAGTCGGCCAATCAGCAGTAAGTTGCTGTCTGGAATCTGTCGGATTTTTTGGCTTTGTCCAAGGTTTATATTCTTTGCTCGTCGCTTCAACACACCGTTGGAAAGTAGTCCATAATCGGCTGAAGAAAAAAGGCTTGCCCACAGTCAAACGTCTGTCAGACACTCATTCGTTGGTCAGCGCATGCCGCCGCTGTTAAAGCCGTGGTCAAGGGCTACGAAGAAATCAAAGCTGGATTGAAAGAGATTGCTGCAGACCCAGAGCAGACGGGAGACACTTGAAAAGAAGCTCTTAATCACGCTTCTAATATGGATCGTTTGGAGACTGGCATACTTACTCTGGTATGGCACCGTATCTTGAAGCGTTTTAACAGTAACAGCCAATTGCTTCAATCCGCGGATCAAGACATTAACTCGGCTGCTGCTATTTATGAATCCCTGGAAGAGTACGTGAAAAATATGAGACCAAAATTTGAGCAGTTCGAGGCTGAAGGAAAATTGCTCAGTGGATGCGAACATTACGAAGACGAAATGAAACGAAATCGCCAGCGGAATCGTCGTTATGATGAACCAGGATCAGCTCCGGAAGTAGAACTTACACCTGCCGATAAGTTTCGAACGGCAACGTTTTTGGTTATTATCGATAATTTGGTTGCTGAGTTGAAGAAACGTAAGGAAGCATACGCCACTGTTACATCAAGGTTTGGATTTTTGAGAACTATGAAGGAGCTACCTGACGACAAACTGACACTGAGTGCAAATCAGCTTTGTAAAATTTACCCAGGTGACCTTGAGCCGAGTCTTTCAGACGAGCTATTACAGTTCTCTGCCTTCCTGAAAACCGAGCTTGCCGAGAGATACTTGGATTCGTCAAGCTCTGTAGAAGCACCAGTCCTCTCTGAAATCCCTTCCTCGCCCGCACCATCTGAGGATTCTTCAGCGCCATCTTCACCAGTTGCTACAACTCCAAGTGATGATGAAGATATGTCATTCAACAATGACAATGAGCTGCATGAGCATGATCAAACCATGGAATTCGAAAACAATGATGCAATGAAACTAGAATCACCGGAGGTTCGGATGTACAAGCTCATATTAGAAAACAAACTAGAAACAGTATTTTCAAATATAGAAGTCGCACTTCGTATTTATCTTTCTCTTATGATATCGAATTGCTCTGGCGAAAGATCTTTTTCAATATTGCGTTACATAAAGAACTCGTACAGATCCACCATGGGTCAGAGACGGTTGAACGACCTGATATTACTAAGTGCTGAACAAGACATTCTTCGTGAGCTTGACATAAATTCACTCATCAATGACTTGCGCTCATGAAATCTTGAAAAAAGAGTATTTACAAATCATCGTAAATTGATAACGGGAACATTTCAAAGTGATATACAGCTATTTCAATTAAGGTAATTGTCCCCGACCAAAGTGGTAAAGTCGAATACGAACGCGAAAGGCTTGCTGGAAATTGCATATAAATCAATGGTTTTCAGTTAGGGATTCCCAGCAAGCCTTCCGCGCTCGTATTCGACTTTTCCGCTTTGCTCGGGGACAACCTTGATTGAAATAGCTGTATGCCACAAGGATATAATAGTAATTATAAATAAAAAATTCAATTACCAAGTTAATATATACTACTCTTGTCTCTAATTTGGTCTCAGACTTTAGATTTGCTATATGCTGCTTAACACCACGCCGCTACGATGATGGTGAAATATCAATGTCCATATATTACGGATGTTCATGAACTTGTCCCTAGGTTGAAGCCGAAGTATTCATATCTTTTGTATCAGTTGTCCTTCTACAAACCAACTTTTAGTCATTATACAAGTTGAATTTGCATTTATTTGCTTTGCAAGTCACAACAAACTGAACAAAGTACTAAACCATAACCTGTGGCTGTGCAATGATCGAGCATCTTGAGCGATATCCAAGTCTTTTGAATGTCACATACGAACAAATCTCACTGAGTTTTTTCTACAGAAAGTATTGATCCATTTGATCGATCGCTGTACTTTGAGAAAAGCTTGAAATGCAAAATTCACAGGGAAGATTGAAGAATTTTGGAGATAAAAACTGTTGGTCTTCAAGTTTCACCTCTAGCATTCACCCCCGGTTCAAAAAAGTAATAATTACATAATGTTGGAGTCACATGACCAGCGTTTACCAAGGGCTATGTCGCCGCCTTCAACTCGCGGCTAGCCCTGGGTACAGGGGCGTAGCGAAGGCTATGTGCTTGGGGGGTCCACGACTCACTTTTGCCGATGAAGTGGGCGTGGCAGCGACTTGGCAGGGGCGTGGTTGGGGCGTGGTTAGGATAATCACTTCAATAATATTTCAATGTAATTTTTAATATATATTAAGAATTGTTTTTATTTACATGGTGTATCAATATTGTGATTGTTCTGAACAACTAAAAGACAAACAAAATCAAAAAGTAGGCTAATTAGGTAACTAAAATATGTTCAATTTACACCGGACCGATGGTAATTCGCCTTGATTTCAAACTAGCCCACAGTGTGGCTAGATTCTGTACAGGTATTTCATCCGTGATGTCTTTTTCACAAGCCATGAACATAAGTTCCTCTAACCTCTCATCGCTAGTTCTTGATCTGCACAAGTTTTTCACTGTTTTTAACTTACTAAAAGTTCGTTCATCCTTGGCGACAGTCACTGGGGCAGTTAAAACCAGACGAAAAGCTCTGTTGGTCAAAGGGAACACCAACTTCATTTCCTCTGCTTTTTTTGCGGCGCTAGAAATATCTTTAGCATCTTCTTCATGTGTCGTTTTCAAGTGCAACTTAAACGTCTCTATTTCAGACATAAGAGCATCTGGATCTGGTCTGTCTTTGTCGGGATGGAACTTCGCCAAAGCTTCAAAGGTTTGAATTGAAGATGGTTCTTGACCTGGTTGTAGGGCTTGGAACAGAGGTTTGATTGTGGCAACACAGTTCTCTAGGACATCCGTAAACGTGTTGATCTGCGTATCTAAAACCGCTTTAAATTCTTTTCGATAGAATGATTCCACGTTTAAATTTGCAGTTGTACTGGGGTTGTCATCGATTCGCCTTGAGGGTTTTCTTTGACGGTGATATCGTAGAAAATCGGTACCAACATCTACACCAAGTTTCTCAGCAAATGATGCAGCCGCTTGAATTTCTTTATTCATTCCATCGATGTTGTCATTGACGTTTTGTAGGTTAGTTACTGTCGACTGAACGATAGTTATGGCATCGATCACGTTGAGGTCTTCACTTTGAAGTGTCTCCGTCATTCGTTTGGTCGTGTACATAATGTTCTTCATAAACATAATTGACACAATACAATCAAAGCGCAGCAACTTGGAACGCAAACCAGAAGCAGTACCGTCATCCGACTGTTCCAGGTTGGAAAGGCTGTCTAGGATGGCTTCGTAGCAGATCCACACAGACTTTATGGACTCAGCGCGAGCTGTCCATCGAGTTCTGGAGAGATTTCTTAGGTTCAGTGGATCGTCTACTTTCATGGACTGAATCGAGTCTTCTAGTGAAGACATGCGTTTTGTGCGACCCGTATAAAACACATAAAGTGCTTCCAAAACGTTGAAAAGTTCTGTGATAATTGGGCTTGCCTTGCAACTGTGTTCTATGACCGTGTTCGAACGATGTGTTAAACATGGGATGTATGGAACACTTTTCCCGAGCTTGTCCTGGAGCTTTTTTTGCACACCGTTAAACCTACCCGACATTGATGCTGTGTAATCATAACTTTGAAAGCACAGTTCGTCCAGATTCAACCCTTGTTTAGTTAGAGATCCGATAATCTCGGTTGCTCCACCTTCCCTAGTCTTGTCCACGGCTTCAGTCAGCGACACCAAACGTTCTCTGGGCAGACCCATCTTATCCACGTAACGACAGGCAATAGCAAGCCGATCTTTGTGTGATACATCTGGTGTCGTATCTGCCATAACCGAGTACATACCTGCATCCTTGATTTCTTGGACGATGCGCCGTTGAACCTCGTGACCAATGAGTTCAATAAATTCGTTTTGCGATTGAGCATTTAAATACGTGACGTGATATGGGCGCATCCTGGACGTGTTCAACCAGTGTGTTAGTTCTGGCACAGTATAGGAAAAGTACAGTAGGGCCACTCAGCGTAAAAAAGTGTCTACATTGTTTACTGGCTGCCAACCTAATTTACATATTGGCAGCCAGTAAACGGCAGCAGTCCACTATAAAATTGTACTACAGAATAATGATTTTGGCCGCGTAAAACACCTAGAACCTAGCTTAAATAAGTGCCACTTTTCTCTCCCCTAAGTGGCCCTACTGGTTGTCTCCCTA